ATATTACATTTGTCGAATCAAAATTAATTATTGTTTGACGCATTTTACTATTCCTACAGTCTTCGCTCTTCAAAATAAAATCTCAATTTCACAGCGTATTCACGAATACATATTTCACTATCATAATTACTATTATACAAATATTATAAGGCTATATTAATGTGTATTCGACAAACGTAATAATATGACGAAACTATTTTTTTTCCCCACAGTTGTCAGTGGTAATTTTTATATAAAAAAAATCACGTTTTTTGACGCAACCGTGATATTTAATTATACCTAAAAATGTCCGCGTTCAGTTGTTTTACGCCGAAAAGGGAACTGTAAGTGTCGGCCGAAGAGGGGAACTGTTGGCGCTGGCCGAAAAGGGGAGGGCATATTTTGGCCGAAGGCGGTGACGATGACGCCCGTCTCCGTACACAATATCATAATAATATTATACGGGGTATCGTGCGCACGGCGATCTCGTTTCAATTAAACACAATAATTAATTCGTTCGCAGTCTTAAGACCTTTCGAAACGAATTTGTGAAATATTATTACATCGTATACGTGTATAATGTGCAACGCTTAGTGCTCCGTAGCGAGTAATCTGCTTTAACTATCATCGCCGAAGCCCATTGGCTGCGAGCTAATACCCGGTCTGGCACGAACGTCGACAAAGTCCTCCAATTAAAATCGTATTTCGATCGGAAATATAGTTCGTGTGGGTACATAATATAATATTATATTATTATTATCTGCGTCCAAATATTATACGAATTAACCGACAACTTAACTCGTATATTAATCCACTTTGATCAATGAACAAGCGCAGTACGTGGAGTGGCTTTACCGTAATTCGACTACACATAGGTATGTTATTATAATATTATGTATTTTACCGAAACTAACGCGCTAAATGCCGCGCCAGTGGCTCATCCCTTCTCACCCGCGGATCCACCCCTAGAGACGGATGTTTCTCAAAATTGTCCGAAGAACGATGATCCGCAAGTCTGTAATAGTTATATACCTACCTACGAAAGTGTTTAAAAAAAAACATAATAAACGTTTAATGTGATATTCGTTTGTTTGACACTATGATGGACACATGTCTGAAAATCAATACGTCCTATGATAATAATTTATGATCCAAAATCAACACATTTGAGGATAAAACAGATTTTTGTGTTGTATTGATGAATTCAGTTGTCACTATTCAGAAGTTTTCGATAACATTTTCAATAAAAAAAACATATTGCATACGAGTCCGCAATGAAGTACCACGTTTTATCCGTCTTTGCTGGCCTTGCCATCATATGTAGCACATAACTAGATAATATTAATTATAGGGGGTAGGTAATCGATAAAAAATGAAGACACGACTGTATGCTATTGGTATACAATTTTTTTTTATTTTATTATTATTTCATATTATAAATTTTTTATTTTCAGTCCGCGATTCGTTTTATTTTTTGTTTCCACGGCAATTTTTTTCGTAGCGGTTTCGTAACGCTTTATGTAACGTAACCAACGCAAAAATGTGCCAAAGCAAAAACATAACGAATCCCAGTTTCCTACACGACCCACTTTGTTTGAATATAGTAGGTAACGCTTTTCGTGGACACTTTTTCGTGACGGTTTTTAATTTTAATGTGCCAAAGTAAAAACATAAAATGTCAACAATATTTTTATTTTCACATAATCTATTATTTTTCAATCAACTATACGTACTATACTCGCATAGAAAACTTTCGTGATACATTTTTTTTGCCTACAATTTTTTTTAAATCGTTAAGTAAAATATAATACATAAGAATAAGTGTTAATACTTGTTCAAATATTTCAAGGTAATCGGGAGTAGATCATAAATCATAATATACATCGTTTTTTCAGAAGTGATGACTAAAATGTTATTAAGATAGAACACATTGGATCCCTCTTTAATCTAGATTATAGGGAAGAATATGGGTGCCATTAAAATTTACAAAAGTTTTGCAATAGGTTTTCCTCCCCCGTTATAGAGGGTACGTTATGAAGGGGTTTCAAAATTTATTGTATTGAATATTTGCAGTGCTGACGACAATGAAATGAGAGACATTTGATCGCCAAATATTGCACTCGATCTATCTTCTCTCTTTTTCGACGATCTGTTAATTTTTATTCAGTCTCGCTCTTATATCTTATTTAAAAATGCGACGTAAGCTCCGAAAGTTGTTTAAGAAGTGGGGGAGGGGGGGGGCAATATTTCGACCACATCTACCAGAAACAATCCGATTCTCCAAAAGTCACGTTCGGTTGAAGTTTGTAAGTCTACCTCGAAAAACTTCAATTAATTTTAAAAAAAGTTTTCATTGTTCCGTTTTTTTAAAAATTGTATTCATCTTCATATATACTTCGCAATGAGTGTTCAAAAAGAGAATAAAAAAAATTATTTTAAAAGTTAATTAACTCTGTTTTATTCGGCTAAAAAATACTACTGAACTTAGTAATTTAGTTTTTATATAATTTAATATTGGAAACCATTTTTCAACGTACCGCAATAATCTATTCAATTGCATTACGTACAATTAATTATTCAACCGATCAGTGAACTCTTAACAATTATAGAACAAAATATAGTGAATGTGATTTATTTTTCATTATCGGACTGTAATATTCAATTTATATGCATTACAACAAAAACGACTATAAATTTAATAATTAAATTGTTTTGCAATGCTTCTTAAGCAAACTGATCATATGTCGTATACCCTCAAAAATCTTTTCCTCTTTAATTTTGAACAATGTGATTTTACTCTAGGATTATTCAAAAACATAAAAAAATTAATATTTTGCTTGGATCTTATTTGTCAATGACTATTTGTCCGATCGATTGCTATTAATAACTTTTGGTTCAGAACTTTTTAAACGATGATGTATCGAATACATAATACTAAACATTTACTGTGAATATCGTATTTATTAGCATAAGGTGCCTATTATTATTGCGACGAAAATCCAATCTGACAATTTGAGTTAGTGGTCTGCGACTTAAGCTCCGAAATTCTTTTGAGAGATGATAGGATGAGGATGGAAAATTTCGGCCACATCCAACAGAAAAAAAAAAGAAGAATGCTTTTTGTATCTGTGTTCACTCGAGAGAAAAACAAACGGAGCACTGACGTTGTAAAATTGTTTAATACAACGGTTTATCCGATCAATTTCTAATCACTCCCGGTTCAAAAGCTTTTTAAACGATGATTTCTATGAATATAAAATATTATGTATTTATTATAAATATCGAATTCGTTAGTATAACGTAGGTACCTAGCTATTATTATTACGACGAAAAAGCGAACCCGTATAATATATTATAGCTTCGTAATCAGTTGTCCAATTATTGTTATTATTATAAATTTTTTTTTTTTTAACACGTAGGTATGTCGCGTTTTGATGATATCCGTCGTTAAACGCAAAGTCAAAAAAAAATAAAAAATTGATTGAATTTTTTTCCCAACCGTCCAGTTTTCAGTATATTATAATGTATAAGTAATCATGTACGGTACTTAGTTCGACACAACATTATTATTTATTATATTATGTATATTATAATGCCCATACAAGGGATGACTCACAAAGCATGCTCACCCTCATTTTTCCCTGAAACCACCCATATTATATGTTAAGACTATGTTTTTAATCATTTCGATTTTATCATACCGTTTAAGGAGTGACGATACAAATTCATTTTTTTTCTAAATGAAAACAAACTTTTTTTGTTCATGATATTGGCGAGATAATTGTTTTCTTGATAATATTCTATATTCGAACGAGGAGTAGTGTCTGAGTAACTGGTATTAAAAATGAATATACAAAGGACATCTAAAAAGTCGTCCATAAAAATGGCCAACCGAATTTTTTCCTGCTTTATTAATTAAAATGTTAATTTTTGGACATTTTAGAATCCATATTTAGTTTTGGATCATGTTGATAATTATTTAGATTTCATCACATATCATTTAAGGAGTGTATGGAAGTAATACAAATATATTTGTTTTGTTTCAAATGAAAACCAACTTTTTTCCTCCGCATACCGGAGGCTATAATTATTTTAAAAGCCCCATTTAGTCATTTTACTAAAAAAAAGTATTTTTAAGTGTTCCAAGTACACTTGAAAATCCCGAAAATCAATATTCGAACAAGGACCATCAAAATAATATTTTTGCTGATAGACAAAGGGGGGTGACGACCATGATCGGGGCGATCGAATCGCCCTGTGTAATTATCATTTTATCCGATCTATTGTAACGTCTTTAGCTATACTGGAATATTAAAACGCATAAAACAAGGTCGGAGCAATAGTGTTATCATAACGGACGTTTGTCTTCTCCGGAAATATAATATTATCATAGTCCGACGGGAATAACGATATTACACGTGCCTGTACGTTCAGAATAAGTCGAATACATCGGCTCGTGGAAAAGTGTAAAAAAAAATAATATTGGGTAAAATATTATAATTTAGAACCGTCAGCGCGTTTGACGTCGTCGCTGTTAATCGACCATATAATAATACACCTGCCCGAAAATAAAACGTGTACAGGTACGACGGAGAGCGTAAAAAAATATTCAGATATCCGATTTCGTGAAGCGACCCTTTTGCCGCCCTGCGACGAATATTTTATGGTAAGTGTGACTATTATATATTATATAATATATTGACGCCCCGCTTCACGTCGCATTAATATAACGCTGCCTACGTAATACGGATATTATATTGTTAAAACGAAATGAACAATATTTGTATGGGAAGGTGCTCGCGATGGATAACATAATATTATGTCGCGTCCGTTTTCCCGCGACGCGTGCCGGATATAAAAAAGAAATATAATATATGATAATGTGTTAAAAAACGAGTGCGGCGGAACTCTGCGCATATTACACGCGACGCACGCCATAACATATATTATAATATTATTATCGTAAACCGGAACACACAGTGTACGTCCGTTCGTCCGCATATATTGTTATTGTTCCTTACCTTCGCAATACTTTGATTTCGTTGTCCAGCGAGTCCTCTTTGCCCTTCAACGCTTTTTTGTCGATAATCTTCACGGCGTACATTTCGCTGGGACGTTCCTTGCTCACGGCCAATCGGACTTCGGAAAAAGCTCCCCTGTAAACACAAAACTCGTGTCAAGTCGTTGCAAACTATAAATCTAAAAAAAAAAAAAAATACGTCCAGGGCACGTGCGATGTCCTCCCCGCCGAAAACGCCAATAATAATTACCCGAATATTATGTTCCTTTCGAACAGCGCGATGAGCTAGACGGATCTTTTTCGTCTCGATTAATACCGTGTTCATATTATTAACAGAGTGTGAACGGAAGTCTTATATCTTTTGAAAACATTTTACACCTGACTGTTCAAACTAAATTTATTTTAATCTATATTGAACTGTGCCGTGTCGTTTTGTACCTGTACGTACACATTTAAAATTAAAAAAACATTCGAACGATGCTTTTTCATCATAATATATGCTGTTTTTCATAATCGTATTGGCAATGGACTAGAGTGGTACACTGAGGTGTTTCATTTCTGTTGATAAAGTTATTAATTTTCAAATAAATAATTGAATCAACCACCCAATGAACGCGTTCAGTATTTTAAATGAACTTTTCAAACACCGCTCACAGTAATATTATTCTATATATATATATATGTATATAAATCACGTATTTTATTATTACATCCACATAGCCCACCCACTCCCCGCGGGGTACCCACGGTTTAGGCAGGTAAATTGGACAGGACACCGCAGTACTGTGAGCGTTAATACGACTACACGTTAACTGCTCGGTTAGAACTTTGATAAGCTTACAGTTTGTAGTTTTCCACATTTGATTTTACTTCATATATATATCGATAGACTTTGCCCTGAAAGGTGAAACTTAAGTGTAGAGTATACTAATTATGAGACATAATAATATCTTGTGACCAAGTTTGATAAGATGTGTTTTTTATTTTCAATTTTAACAATACATTACATCGATTTTGGTTTTTTTTTTTTTTGAAATACCCTTTAGATTTTCATTTTAACCGATAAATGTCCGTAGGTATAACGTACAACAAGTAGTTTGTGTACACTGTGCGATAAAATGGAAACGGTTGCACAATGCAAATCTTACTTTCATTGCGCTTACAAGTTTACTAAAGACACAAATACCTATACTCAAATTTACATTTTGAGATGAAACCATAATATTGTTACTTGCATTTAATTAGTATTATTTTTTCCTAGAAAACTTAACGCCTATACACTCGAAGTTTGTACATAAACACCTATATTACGACCAGTGGCGAAAATAGGATTTCTTTCTGGTGGGGTTATTGATGATATTTTGTTACACAGGAGGAAGGCTCAACTTGGATTTTTCATGCTTTTAGTATACTGATATACCCAAAGAGGAGAATGAGTGATACATCCTTATCGTGAAAAAAATATAAAGCATAATAATACGATGTGTGTTCGATGATTGTAAACATTTATCCGCGAGATTTTCATATTGAATATACGCTGGGTGGGCTTAGGTGCAACCTATCTCGGAATTATCATAATAATGTGATTTTTAGCAAGTATGCAAAAACTATTAAAGCGATTTATAGTTAACGTTTATAGTATAATTTCGTTTGTATAACGCATAATCTATTACGGGTGAATCAAAGCAGAGGAAACGTCGATAATAAAATAAAATAATACAAAGCCAACACAATAGTTTCCGATCGGCATTTTCCCTTCCAATCAATGAATGATAATTATTATTATTGCTACTATTTCCGAAGCAAGTACTCGTAAAATCGATTGTGTATTCTCACTGTGTTGAAAATAATAGCACCACGTAGGCCTCCGCCTTCAAACGGCGTTATTATAGTTTAAATCTGTGTAAAAAATTCGTTTTTCAAATGATGATTTCTTTTATTAATAAGGAGAGTAATTAGTTTGAGCCAGAAGGAAATAATTCATCTAAGACACACACGACGCTGTAAACAGCAAACAAGCATGAAATTAAAAATAAAAGACACTGCAATCTTACATAATATACTTATCATAACTATTTAAAAATTATATTTCACACAAAAGATTTAAATCGAAAAGAACATCTAAAACGAATTAAATGTAGAAAGCTAAAGGTAACAATAATATACACTATGACTCGTGGTTCGTGAATCGTTAAAATATTTCGTCTTTTCTTGATATATTTACGAACAAGACTCTTCTAACGGTTCTTTCGCGATACGTGTTCTATTTTTCATTTCTATCCGACAACATAAAAACCACCAAAATATTATTTTTGAAGTTACTGATGACAAAACGCACGTAAAAGGCTCCCTTGAGCGGGACTCGCGAACGTGAAAATATGTTAGTGCAAAAAAAGCTTCCAAATAGTGAACAGGCCAAAGTTGAGTTCGAGATTACTAATAGTGCGAAGTGTGAACTTTTAAAGAAAAAAACATTGAAGATGGCGGAGAACGTCATTATTTCAAAAATGGATAGAGGTAATCTAAAAGTTTTAATGACTTTTATAATTATTATCTTCCTTCAATCAAAATTTACATTAATATGTATTCTAAATGTAAGTGGCAATATTTTGTTAATTGATCCGGCGGAATTGAAATTAAGGAAAGTTTATACATCAGGTGACGTATATAACTTGTCGTGTCGCCCGAGTATGTAAAAAAAATGGAGGATGAATAACGGTCGTATACAAATTTAGGAAAGGTTTTATTTTAATTTATTATAAATGAGAGATTATTATAATTTTATTATATTTTCTAAGTACCTCTACCTACGTACTAATATTATAATATTGAAAATGCTGTCTTGTTTCATTTTATTTATTTCACTATAACGCACATAATTAATTGTATAAATGTTATGTTTATTTTCAATCATAATTTTGTTTATATTTGTATAACTCAATACCTCCAACACAGGCGACGTTTAAAGGCGATCGATGTAATATCACAAACTCTGTTCAATAACAACGACGCGTTTTTTAGATTTAAATTTTAAATTAAAAAAAAAAAATATATATATATATACGTATATACATTGTGCGCAGTAAGAATACTTTAAAATAAAAATATGTAATAATGCGATCGGTATCTGCTTGAAATATTATGTTTTTCGGCGGTTATTATCAATCAATGTATAAAATGTATGTATTTATCGACAATATTTAATTTAAATTTATAAAGTTATACAATTTGGCGGTATGGGGTTAAATACCTCGGTATTAAAAATTATCGTTTTTACCAGTGGCACTTAAAATGAAAAAAAGAGAGTATCATGGTGTTCTGTAAGTATAGAAATCAAGACGCACTTGCCACGGTGCATCGCGCATACGCATCAATGCAAGTTTATATAGTAACAAATACATGAGGTACAGAAAAACAGATTGATTTTTGCAATTCATAATACATTTTCCCATATAATTTCGACATTAATAATATGGTGTTGTGGTATTTTTCTTCGACCCCCCCCCCCCTCTTGAAAAAAAATCTGGTTTCCCCGCTGACTAATCTACGTATTTCATTCCGTGGACGGGTAATCCGTTTGCGAATTAACAGTAAGTATAATATCTGTGGCAGCTCTTCGTTATTGGAAATCGCATACATAATTTTAACTTCCCTGCGTGAGACATTAAAAAACGCACAAAAAAATATAATTAATTAGTACTTCGAAACCGACATGATTATCTCAAACATTTAATGAGAAAAAATGAAATGCGTGACTACAAATGCGTCATACAAAATATAAAAATAGACATTCTTCAAAATAGGACAAAAATATTCTAAAAGTATTCAAACATCAAAACTGCCAAAAATGGTTTTTTCTTATACTCAAAAGTAATGTTTTAAGCAAATAACGATATAATTACTGGACATTGGCGGAGATCACTCGCTTCTCAAAGCAGTAACTGGAAACAAATGTCGGGGACATTTTTTTTAAATCGATACCGAACACTTATCATATTTTTCGCTTTCAAAACATAAAAAAACTCTTGTTCGACTTTTTAAAATGTCGTGGGGTGGCGGGAGGCTGGAAACGACCTTGTTCCGCCGTACATCGATTTAGGCGCATATCATACCGGACATATTTTACCGGAAGACTGAAAGTGAACTAAAAGTAGGTCGTTATAATAATATGGTCTAGATAAAAAAAAATAATAATAATAAAGTATTTTAATTAAAAAACTCAGCAGGACGTGTTGATTGATATAACAATATCGGACTGACGGGTACACTGTTTTTTTTTTTTTTTAATGACGAGCAAATATTACACTATCTTTTCTCCTGCACTCTTTTGTCGGAATCGGTATTTAAGGAAAAACACAACAATCGCAGCAATAAAAAATTTAAATATTAAAGTTTTTTTTTTTTTTTTTAACAACAAATAGTATATGAACACAATGTAAGTACGTTTTCGTAAAAGCTAACGTCTTTCGGAAAATTAAATTATTGTAAGTATGTTAAAAATGTACCTTGGTATAAACGTAACACCACGCGATGCTCAAAAGTCTGAAATAAATCCTATAACATGTGCCTACTCGATTACCAGCGACATATTATTATGATGCGTTCGATTTTTATTATTATTTTATGTTTTTGCAATAATCTACGCAATATTGTCCTATAGTCAACCGCGTGTGCGCACACGGACACCGAATAAATAATACCACCAATACCGATAATGGTATGCACCATACCAGAGATGGAGAATCCGTGGCCCGCGAAGTTAAAACAATTATATTTAGGTATTATTATATTTTATTTAAAAAAAAGAAAACTGTCAATGTGCCAAAAGCTTCTTAAATCCGTCATTCGAGTCATACGGTTGATCGTCGCTTTCACTCATTGAAATATATCACTAAATATATCGATTATCACTTTTGAAATTGAATTTTTAATAATAAATAATAAGACCACAATGCAAGTACGATTTCATAGACTTAGTAAAGTTGTCGTCTTCCGAAAAATTAAATTGTAAGTCCGTTAAAAATTAATGTGACAATATACTAAACAACGACAATTAATATAGACACACAAAACAGTCTAAAATAAATGTCATTACTGGTTGATCGTCGTATTGTTAAAATTGAACTTTAAAATTGC